AGTATACAATGTCTGGAGGGCTTTTCTAGGACCAAGGTCTCTCATAGGAATTATTCACCTGTATTCACAGACTCCCAAGAGGGTCTTAGATAAAATTAAATGGGTCCAAAGTCATAGATGAACAATTACACTTTTTCTCCCCAATGCTAACTGATATTTACACTTTTCATCAAGGATGCATACAAGCAATAAATGGCAGTAGAATTACCAGTTCTTATATCCTGGTCACTAGACAACATTAAAAATAGTTAAACTCATATTATTGGCAGAGGTCTAGACATTTCATTTACCATCACTTTGAAGTTATTAATAGATTCTGTTATTTAATGCAGTTTAATATAATTTTATAGCTATATTCACAAAAAAAAATCTAGCTTCCTTTAACCCCATTCTTATGTATTAAAAATCGTTCTAAAGGACACCGGATTCTTACTGAAATTACTGCAAAATCAGTGTCACACACACACGCACACACACACACAAAGTTAAAAACCTCTACACTCTAAGGATCAGGAGGAAGATTCTTGCACAGAATAGCCACTTAACTATTGGATTAATAGACCACAGTAAGGGGATGTTAAACAATACATTAGGTAGATTGATGGCTAGATGGGGCCTGCTATAGGTCTTTAGTATTATCTTGAGAGTTTTAGCATTTCCCTGCCCAGTGCATACTCTCTTTATCTCCCCAGAGACCAATAGGCAATTCTTACTAATAAAAAGGGAATCCATGCTGATTATCAGAATAAATGATTTGTAAAGAAAGCTTTTACCTTCTTTTACCTTCAACATAACAGTCAAAAACTGAGTATTTGGGGAGCTGCAATGTGACTTCCCTTGAGGCAAGGGGGAGGGGCATGTGTTTGTTTTGCAAGTTGCAAAAGAAAGAACAGGATGGGGATCAGGAAAGCTTGGATTCTATTTCTGGCTCTGTTATCCTTCATGTAAGGCAGCTGACAAATCTCTTGTACACTCTGGCCTCTGTTTCTTGCATCAACAAAATAGGGATCACATTACTATTCCACTATGTGAAATAGCTTTGAAAAGCATAAGATTTTAGAAGTCTTCTGGGTTCTTGTTAATGAGACAACTAATGATAACAAATGTGTTATAGTAGGGAACAGTTCTTGTTTTCCTCTGAGCTTTCCCATCTTTAAATTAAGTAAACTAAAGTAAACCTATATGGTGCTTTTCAGCTCCAACTTTCTAAGTAGAGAGCAATAGTTATAGAAATTGGAGGCCTCAGTAATAATAATCATCACAGTAATGATGTTACTGAGTACTTCACAAAGGTGTTATTCCAAACATTTAGTGTATATTAACTTATTGATCTTAACAATAGCTCTCTGAGACAGGTACAATTATCACCCTTTCTTTACAGATGAAGAAGTAGACACAGAGAGATAAAGTGATCTGATCTAGGTCACACATCTATTAAGTGGTGGAGCTATGGTTGAATCAGAATTCCAGGACCATGCTTACCTCTATCCCACAGTGACTCTCAATCTGCAGTGGGGCAAAATAATTCTAGATAAAAGGAGTAATAATACAGTTTCATGACTGCTATAAGAGCACAGACTCTGGAAGGACATGTGTATGGAGAGAGGAATCTTCTGTTTCCTTATCACTGGATACTAGAATATAAGTAGAGAAGTAGTAGGAATTGAGGTTAAAGAGATTGACCGAGAACAGCTTGTGAAAGTCCTGTAATTCAGAGTATGGTATCTGGCTTGGATGCTGAAAGGAGTACCACTTAAGGATTTGACATTTGGGATTTATATTTTATGATTACTTAAGTAACAATGTAAAGGAAATATTGAAAAGAGAAACTAGCTAGAAACAGAAACAGTTAAGGTAAATGATGGAAACAGTGGCAATGGGGTGATATGGCCTGATATGGATGACATATAGAGGTCTCTGGGAAGTAAAATCCACAAGATTTGATGACCTTCTGTATGGAAGTGACACAAGAGATAAGAGAATTGAGATAGGTCTTGGAATTTCATTTGTCTGACTAGATAGACAGTGAAGAACTGAGATAGGGTTCAAGTTTGTTGATGGTGATGGTGGTAGTAGTCATGTAATATTGCTGACTTTGAATTTCCTGAAGAATCTCAGTGGATACATATTTTTTGCTAAGGAGAGAGATGGAGGTCTTGAAAAGTTAGTCTTGAAATCAACAGAAGGTAAGAGAGATAGCTCTGAGATTGAAGGGGATCAAGTAGAGAATAAGAGGAACTTAACTGTTTGGGGGAGAATAGAGGAGAAAAATCAGGTAAGTGTGCTGGCAAGGAAGCCAAGGGAGGAGGATTTAGGAAAGAGTAAAAACAGATGTCTTCAGAAGTTGGAGAAGGAAAGACCTAAGAAGCAGACAGTAGGCGTGGCCACAAGGATGATTTTTGAAAGCCTGGACTCTCTAAAGGATGGATGGAGTCAGGTTATAGGCTATGGAGAAGTGAATTGGAGGTGGGGAAGTGCATGTTAGATAACTTGTTATGTATGTTTGATGCATAAGAGAAAGATGAAGAAAAAGGTAGCTAGACTAGGACAAAATACCAGAGATGTGTTACCACATGCCGGCCTCAGTATCCCTTAGCCAATAAAAGGAAACAGAGTTTGAGGAAGAGGAAAGTGGTTTAATTTGTCACAAATGAGGAAGGCAGCAGACTCATGAAACCATCAGGGTTATTTATACAAAGGGAAATAAAAAGAGGGGGCATGGGCAATAGTCTGCAAAGGGGAGAGGTGAGGGGTCAGCATGGAGACTGAGAAAGGTGGGTGTCAGCTTGCTTTTTTCAGCAATTACTGTTTAACTCCCTGTTCCTTGGAATGCAGGAAGACAAACCTAGGAACAAGGGGTGGGGGTAAGGGGTGGGGGTGTGGGGCAAGGGGATGGCATAGTAGGGGAAAAACAAGCTTGTTAATGTTTATCTGAGAGACCAGTCATTTGTAACTGTATCAGTTGAGTCTTGTTTTGTTTCCTAAAATGGTTGAGGGGAAGAAGACAATAAGCAGGTCCAATATACAAAGAGTGGAGTCTGATCTTTGAAGAGCTAATACAAGATAGCTTTCTCTTATCAGCCTTATGAGGCAGAGACTATCATTTTATGATTTACAGGTAAGAAAACAGTCCCAAAGAAGGAAAGACATGTGATCAAGGTTACTCAGTTAGGAACTGGGGATGCTAATTACAAACTTAGGTCTGCCTGATTTCTTATTTATTTACTTTTACATCCTCCTTCATTGTGTTCATTTTTCCATCTCAGTTGTAATCCCCGTGGACTTCCCACTACCAATTCTTCATCCGTGGGCCATCACCATAGCTCTGTGCATCTTTCCCATCCCATTTTTGTTACCAATCCCTTCTCCACCCCCCCCCCCAGTAAAATGTCTCTGGTATGTAGTGGTTCATTGTTTTCATTTTTTTCTTTATTACTTTTGATTTCTAAAATCTTCTTACACTTGTATCCAAAATGAATAAATGATAGACCATATATGGAGCTGATGTTGGGAGATAGGGAGAGGTATAAAGTTAGAGGAGACCACACCCACCCACCTCATAATTTTTTCTTATGAAGTATTTACCTGAGGTCAAAAGCTAACAAAGAAGGGTGGAGGTAGAGAGTGAATAAGAGGTTGCATGTGGCCTGAGACCATGGCTGCAGGGTATGGGAGAGCAAGAAAACCTGAGCTCTGAAAATTGAGCTCTGAAAAACATACCAGCTTACACTAATGACATTAAAAACAGGTGAGTGGGCCCTCCCAGGTGGTGCAGCGGGTTAAAGCACAGCGCTAAGAAGCTAAAAGCTACTTCAGCATGAGTTCGATCCCTGCCTGGAGGTGATCCACATGGTACGGCAGACCTCTCCTGGCTGGCCTGCCGTTCTGCTCTCCTCAGCAGTGCGCTTCATCAGTCGGCCTGTTCTGCTTCCCACTCTGACTCTTGTGAATGCCTCACCGCTCCTGCATCGCTGTCCTGTACCCCAATTCTGTATGCATAAATAAATAAACCTTTTAAAAAACAGGCGAGTGACTGACATTGTAGCACTAGGAACAGTACTGGTAAGATGGAGGGATTAGGTTGAGTTATTATTCATTAGGCCATGGGGAAGGAAGAGATTCTAGACTGGTTGGATCAGAGAGGAGTAGGAAACACTTGACTCAGAGGGATGGGGAAGCCATGGGTTCCAAGGAAATGCTGGCAATAAGGACCCCTAGATTGGTCTTGAAGCATAAACAAGATATGACCAGTAAGGAAACCTCAACTCTTTTTAATCTTCATTTTATTCAAAATCTGTTTTTTATAGTGCCATCTCCTGATTTAATCAGAGCCACACTGTTGCTTGAAGCATGGTGCCTGAATCTGAGAGAAGGTTACATATGAGGTGTTTGTGAAGATGCTGAACTTCATCTAAAATACTTAGAGGCTGAGTTGGGGGTGGGCCCCTTAAAACAAATGTTAGACTGCACAGGATAACAACTGAAACCACAAATTGTCAATCTTCGGGCTTAGTAAATGTCAGGTCAGTATCACCTTATTAGTGCACACATTTTGAACTGAGAAAAGTGAACCTACCAAGTACTCAGTCATTATATAGGCCCTCAGGGTGGAGGAGTCCAAGATGGGTATGGGGGTTCTCACTCTAGAGTTTACACACTAATGAAGCATAGGTACTTAGAAATGTGGTGTCAAAGTCCATAGCTAAAGGCTACTTGTGCTCCTCTGGTGTCCCTGAGCAGGAAGAGATTAGTGAAAGCTTCCCAAGAAGTAAGTAGCAGTTCTAAGGACAGGCAGAACAGCATATGCAGAGGCATCAAACTGTGAAGCAGTGTGATCTGTTTTGGCAGCCATCTCCAGGGCATGAAATAAGATGGAATAGGAGTGCAATTCAGAGGACCTACGACTGAACAGCCCGATCATGAAAGGTGAAGGACAAGGGCTGGCAACCAGGCTTTTGATGGGGGCCCTCAGTCTTTCTCTCTCTCACTTTTATAACATGCAGATCTGGCAGATCCTCCTGCTCATAATGAAAATAGTTCTCTAGTCATCAAAGATGAGCCTCATGGATATCACCAAGATCTTCTCCCTCCTGCAGCCTGACAAAGAGGAGGAGGACACTGACACAGGAGAGAAGCAGGCTCTCAATCAAGCAGTATATGACAATGATTATGCTACCTTGGACCAGCTTTTGCACCAGGAGCGTTACAAACGTTTCATCAACAGTAGAAGTGGTTGGGGTATTTTTGGGACACCCCTGCACTTGGCTGCTTCTTATGGCCACCTGAGCTGTTTGCAGGTTCTGCTGGCACATGTTGCTGATGTCGATAGCTTGGACATCAAGGCACAGACACCACTTTTTACTGCCGTCAGTCATGGTCACCTGGACTGTGTACGAGTGCTTTTGGAAGCTGGTGCCTGTCCTGGTGGCAGCATCTACAACAACTGCACTCCAGTGCTCACAGCTGCTCGCGATGGTGCTGTTGCCATCTTGAAGGAACTCCTAAGCCATGGTGCAGAGGTAAATGTCAAGGCTAAACTACCAGTCTGGGCAACAAACATAGCTTCATGTTCCGGCCCCCTCTATTTGGCTGCAGTCTATGGGCACCTTGACTGTTTCCACTTGCTTTTGCTCCATGGGGCAGACCCTGATTACAACTGCACTGATCAGCATCTGTTGGCACGTATCCCTCAACCCCGTACTCTTCTTGAAATCTGCCTCCATCATAACTGTGATCCAGAGTACATCCAGCTTCTGATTGATTTTGGTGCTAACATCTACCTTCCATCTCTCTCCCTGGACCTGAACTCACAAAATGATAAAGGCACTGCACTGCTGCTACAGGCCCGAGGTAAGTATCCAGCAGACCAACCCTATTGGGCCTCCTGCCTTGAAGTTCCTAGGACATCAAATCGCCTCTAAGACAATCTTTCTGCGATGAATTAGCAAAACACCATCATCTTCCCTCTCCTGGTCTCTCCCCAGTTGTAAGCAGTTAAAGATTCCTTTTTAGAGAAGAGATCACTATGAGGTAGGGGGTTGTTGTAACCTAATTTCTGATTATGAGTTGACCAGCCACTTGTTTTTGGCCTTGAGCATGCCATTCTAGGCCTCTGTGTCCTCACTGCTACCATTTCCATTCATTGACGGTAAGGTGGGGGTACATATCTTAGAAGGGAGAGAAAAATAAGATTTGCAGTAGCCAGGACAAGGTCAATGAGGGTTTGGGTGGGAGAATTATTCTGAGAATTGCTTCTCATACCTGTTTATCTCCTTGCTGTAGCCATTCCAAGGTCACTACTATCACAGGCCCGTTTAGTTATCCGCAGGGCTCTGCACCAGGCAAGTCAGCTACAAGCCATCAACCAACTGGATATCCCCCCCATATTGATTGGCTACCTCAAATACCAACTATAGACTAGCAGCCTTCCCAGAAATCCATCCTGCTTCAAAAAACCACCTGTGGACATACGTAACTGGAGGGCAGTAAACTCCATCTGCTCCCTGAAGCTTCTCTCCTATATTATCCTCCACAATAAAAATTCTCAAAAAATCAAGCTGCTGTGACTTTTGTGTCACGCGCACGTGCGCGTGTTTGTGTGTGTGTGTGTGTGTGTGTGTGTGTGTGTGTGTGTAGAGAGAGAGAGAGAGAGTAGCAGCGTATTAGGGGAAGGAGTCTGGTTGGTTGGTTGGTTATGGGAAAGATGTCCTCAGGCAGACATAGAGTACCTGGTCACTAAAAGAGAGAAAAATGGGCCCTCCCTGGTGGCGCAGCGGGTTAAAGCACAGCACTGAGAATCTAAAGCCGCTTCCGCAAGAGTTCGATTCCCGCCTGCCCCGGAGGTGACCACATGGCGTGGCAGACCTCTCCTGACCCGCCCGCTGCTCCCCTCAGCAGTGTACTTCGTCGATCTGCCTGTTCTGCTCCCCACTCTGTCTCTGCTGAATCCTCTCACCCTCCACGTCTCTGGCCTGTACCCCAGTTCTGTATGCACAAATAAATAAATCTTTAAAAAAAATCAAAAAAAAAAGAGAGAAAAATGAAACTAACCTAATGTTCCATACTGTCTGACCAAGATCTCTGGAGAATTTGGGGATGTGTTGCCCTAGAACAAGGCACTGAAGAATTCAAGAGGGTTAAAAGGGTAACATCAGCTTTCTCAGTTATTTTCTCTGGCTACTACAAGACATCTTTTGAGGGTTTTTCACCCAGCTCCCACATATCACTTTGAGAAAAATGACCAAGAAGACTTGCATTCACTCAAATTGAATCATAGGTTGCATTTCCACAAGGTTAGATTATAACCAAAATCTAACTAGAAACCAAGCTATCAAATATTTATGACAGAATTTAATGCAGAAAAAATGGGTACATAGGTGAGTCTAAAGAGTACAGTACAATTAGTGACATTAAGAGATCAAAAATACCCTTAGACTGGTGGATGAGGAAAGAGATATATCCAAGTGTCCAGAGATAGGGGTCACTTGATGGGAAAGTGGAAACAGGCCTGAGCACTAGTGCTAAAAATATAGAGAGACACTGCACAAACCAGAGGAGCAGAAGAAATACTCTTTCCTTTCACTTATGACTATTTTTTAATCTGCCTCCAATGCTTCTGGGGAAAACTGGATATCAACTAATATGAGAGTCTATGAAACACAACTTATGGGGGTGGGCCCTCTTGTAATACAAAGTAGAGAAGGGGAATATGAAGAATGGAGGGAGAATGCCAGGAGGTCATATCCTCTTTAGATTCTCAGTCTATCACCTGTGCTACCAAATTCTTTTCTACATTAACACTCTGCATTACATACTCTGGTGACCTGAGCCAGGAATTAGGATCATCCAGCAGAATTAGAAGTATATTTACAGTGGGAGACATAAAAAGGACATCAGAGATAACATCAGAGGCAGAAAAGGCAGAGGCTAAGTGCCCTGGCTTCTCCTTTTTTCCTACCCTCCCACTAATGCTTGGAAGTAGATTAACCCAGTCAAAAGACCCAAGGAGCCTTGGAACACAGTCTGAAAGCACAGCCTGCAGACGTCAGTTCCCCTGTGGTGTGGAGAAGAACAAAAGGAAACAAACAGGCCCTGGAGCAGCACAAATAACAACACAAATTCATATCCAGGCACACTAATTTTGTTAAATATTTAGCCTCCATTGTACTGTATTGTATGTCCCCTGTACAACTGTAAATAGTGAAAAAGACACAAGTTGAAGGAGTGAAGGAAGAGAACCCAGAAAATAGACCTAGAAAATCCGTACTAGGGAAGCTTTTTAGATGCTTAGAGCTCTTCTCCTGAAAATTTCTTTAACAATCTCCCATCATGACCTCTTACCATGAAGAAAAGGAAGCAGGAACTAGAGTCTTGAACTGATTTGCCTCTCCCCTATCTTCCCTCCCCCATTGTCTCTGGTTTCTAGTACCTGAGAAATTTTATTATGTAAGTCAAGGAAACTGGACATTTATCGCCATGGTTCTGTCATACCCAGCCTCCATACTTTCATACTTTTTTTTTTTAAAGATTTATTTATTCATACAGAACTGGGGTACAGGCCAGAGATGCGGAGGGTGAGAGGATTCACCAAGGACAGGGTGGGGAGCAGAACAGGCAGATCTACAAAGTACACTGCTGAGGGGAGCAGCGGGCGGGTCAGGAGAGGTCTGCCACGCCATGTGGATCTCCTCCGGGGCAGGCGGGGATCAAACTCATGCGAAGTGGCTTAAGCTTCTTAGTGCAGTGCTTTAAGCCGCTGCGCCACCAGGGAGGGCCCATACTTTCATACTTTTATTCTTTTACATTTTGGAGAGCAGTACAACTGTTTTTCTTCAGGACTAAGTACAGACAAAGGGCTTTAGGGCTTTCTTCTACCTTTCTTTCATCTGGGCTCCTAGGGGTGTCCAGGACCCCACCTTCTGTTCTGCCCCCTACCCCTTATTAGGGACCCTTAAGGATTAGGTGTGAACTTCACAGTCCCATCTACTATAAGCTCTCAGGAAAGTACATGCTTCAAATGGGGTCTATCCAGAGTGACCTTGCCTGTGGCATCTGGGATACAGATTCTCTGGTTGGCCCATGTGGATAACCAGAGCATGTGGATAATCTGAGCAATTCAAACATTTGTATTTGATGAGGTTGTAGAGGCATACCAAATTCTAAACAGAGAGGAAGTGTTCTTAGTCCCATTTATATCTAGATGAATGGACTGAGAACCTGACAAAGGTAAATGCCATGTTATTGGCAGCTCAGCTCTTCAGAGTACTCCCAGCTGTTTTCTTCAGATGCCTGTGGTACTGATGACAGAAACAACTTAAAGGTCTGGAGCCTTAGTTTCTTCCCCACCCCAGACCTGATCATTCCCATCCAGACAACAACCCAGAAGATAGAATTATCTCAAATTTTAATGAAGAGTCTTCTGAGGCACAAGAAAGCAGCAGATGTGAAGTCACTGTTCTTAGAGTAAAATATCCTCCTCGTCTTTTAGTTCCTTTATGAAACTAAACCCAGATAAGAATTCAGTCTTATCCCCCTAACCGCCGTCACTCCCACCAGCTTCCAGGACAGCCAAGTCTTAACCATTTCAGAAGAGATAATCCCCTTCACTTTTCTGTTCCCTCTCTCCCAATCTCCTCCTGACCTCCTTCATTCTTCCCTCACTCCCTCCCTTCCTGGCATTGCCATTCTCTGGGACTTGGCTCTACTTTTACATACCAATTGAAAAAAGTCATAGAAGTGGAAAAATGCAGGGCAGTTTGAGTAACCAGTTTAATTTGTTTACTTCAGTATTTTTAAACAAGAGCTAGACAGGGGGTTATATTAGAGTGGACCCTGAATACCTTGGTCTTTTGTATTTAAATATTTCATTTATTAGAATGGGACATACACAGTCATAGAAATGTCATGCTGTATGCATGGATAACATGTTCCTTGAGTTCCTGAATAAACATTAAAATAAAACATAAAAAGAAACATTAAATTTTTACCGAGATATAACTGATAAATAACATTATACAAGTTTTGAGTATACAACAAGATGAGTCTACATTTATGTATATGGTAAAATGATTACCAGAGTAACCCATAACCATACTTTCGTGATGAGGAATTTAATATTTATTCTCATAGAAACTTTCAAATATATGAGATAAGAGCCTCCCTTGTGGTGCAGAGGTTAAAGACAGCACTATTGAGCTATCACCAGCCACTGCAGCATGAGTTAAAGCCCAGTCAGCCAGGGAGCTAGCCCACATGGCCCAGCAGACCTCTTCTGTCTCGCTTGCTACTCTCCTTACATTATATTTCAGTAGATCCACCTGCTCTGCTCCCCACTCTGTCTTTCTGAACCCTCTCACCCACACCTCCACTTCTGTCTACACCTCAGTTCTTATATGCATAAATAAATCTAAAAAAACTGAATATTCAGTACAGTAATGTTAACTACAGCTGTTGTACTGTACATTACATACACATGATTTATTGATAAGTGAGGATTTGTACCCTTTTATTACTTCACCCATTTCACCCACCCCTAACTAAACATCTGGCAACACAAAAATGTTCTCAGCACGTATAAGCTTCATTTTCTTCTTTTAGATTTCCCATGTAAATGAGATCATATGGCATTTGTTTTTCTCCTCATTTATTTCACTTGGCATAATGCCCTCAAGTTATAACTATGTTGTCACAAACAGTACAACTCCCTTTATTTAAACAAAAAAATGAATTAAAGCACAAATGAACTTTTAGACCATGAGAGCAATTAGTAATTACTAGAGGGTAAAGGAGGGTGGGTAAATTGAAACAAAGGGAATAATTTATGTTGAAAAAAAATGGAAAAAAGTTGTGAACTTAATGTAGTGTATAAACATGCTGATTTTCAATGATGCACAATCTGAAACTTATATAATGTTATAATGCAATGTTACTTCACACACACACTAAAAATTTTCTTTTTTCATGGTTGGAAATATATTGCATAGTGTAAATGTTTATATTACATAGTCTACATATTTATATACTTACCTACATGCAGCTATCATATTTTCTTTATCTAGTCATCTATTCATGGACACAGGTTGATTTATGTTTTTTAAAGATTTATTTAGTTATTAATAATAACTCATTTCATTTACTTATATTTTATTTATTTCTGCATATTATCTTCTCTGACCATAAAAGCATAAAACTAGAAATAAAACATGAAAACAAAGCAAAGAACCCTCCTTCATCATGGAGATTGAAACCCATGCTAATGGAAGATATCTGGATCAATGAAGAGATCAAAGAAGAAATCAATAAATATTGCGAGATGAATGTAACATCTAGGAACATATGGAGCACAGCAAATACAGTTATAAGAGAAACATACATAGCAATACAGGCTGACATCAAGAAACAGGAGAGAACTCAAAGAAACACCTAATCTCTCACCTTAAAGAATTGGAAAAAGAAAAACAACAACAAAAACCAAAAAATCAGTAGAAGAAAGGAAATAATAGAAATCAAAGCACAAATAAATGAAGTATAAGTTAAGAAAACAGTCCAAAAGATCAAT